TATGCATGTGCAGAAATGGCATACTGAAATCCATTATTTTGCACAATTAATATATACTAATACAAATTTTAGAAAAGTAATGCTTTGTGACTTCTGAGGCCAGCATATAAAAATGCTACCCCTCCCCCATTTCCTCTTCTTCAGATGCTTGCTTTGGAGCCTGGCCACCATGCTGTGGGGAACCCAACAGCGCATGAAGAGGCCCCATGTGGAGAAAGTGGGAGGTCTCTGTCCACAGCCACACCTGAGCATCCAGCCAACAGCCAGCAGCAACCTGCCAGATGAACCACACCCAGACGCACTATGTGGGGCGAGATGAGCTGGTCTCTGCTGAGCTCCGTGCACGTAGCAGATTCATGAGCAACATCCACTACACTTTGGAGTGGGTGTTACACAGCATTAAGTAGCTGATACACCTAGCTTCTCCTCACTGTAACTCCTGCTAGGTATTACTATTATTCCTGTATCGTTACCAAGAGGACTGGCAGAAAGTAGCATCCCTGATTTGGTCTTAATTCTTTGACCCATGATTTTTAGTAGGCTTTCATGCTTTTTATTATTGTCAACAGAACTTTAAAGTCTTTTAATTCTATTTATCATCTTTGTCATTTTTTCCTTTCAAAAGAAATACTTCACTGCAAGAACACTCAAAAACATATTCAAGTCAGAGCCAGGACTAGGACCAGGCTACTGAGGCATTCTCTCTGGGGTGTGTTTGTGTGAGTGTATGTGCATGTGAGCGTGTGAGCGTGAGAGTGTGTGTGCGTGCATGTGTGTGTGAGTGTGAGCGTGTGTGTGTGTGAGTGCGTGTGAGTGTGTGCGAGTGTGTGAGTGTTTGTGTGTGTTTGAGTGTGTGAGAGTGTGAGTGTGTGTGTGAGTGTGGTGAGTGTGTGTGAGTGTGAGTGAGTGTGTGTGTGAGTGTGAGTGTGTGTGTGAGTGCGTGTGAGTGTGTGTGAGTGTGAGTGTGTGTGTGAGTGTGTACTTGTGGGACCCTGAGCATGAGTGCCCTTAACATTTTTGCACCCTGGCCTTTCCTTTAGTCTTAGCCCTGCTTTAAGTCCACCCTCATCTCACTTTCTAGATAGAACCACAGTTCATAGTTTGGTGCATATTCTTCTTGACCTTTTCTACACAAACATTAACATGTAAATATGTAACAACCGCAATTTGTACAACTGTAGAAATGTGTCCTTGGACGTTTCCCAGTTGATACATACAGGCTTAACTTCTTAAGACTACGTATTACACAACGCCCTTATTCCATTGTCATATTTGTACATCCATTACCCCCAGTTTTAAATACGCAGTTTGATTTTGTTTGCTGTTTTAACTTATTTTAAAAAGAGTGACACCAAGTAGATTGAACTCTTGCCTTAGTTGATTTTGTATTGTTTTCATAAACAGTGAAGTAGCAATGATTAATAATAATGTACTGTACATTTCAAAAAGCTAGGATTTTGAAAGAAATGATAAGAGTAGATAATGCTTAACCTCATTTAAACATTATACAATATATACATGTATCAAAATATCACAGTACTCCATTAATATATACAATCTTTATGTTTTTATGTAACAGTTAAAACATAAATTTTAAAAAGCTAAAAAAAGTGAAGTATTGTCCCGTCTTATTTTTTTGCATGAGTTAAACTACTGAGAGGTGTTTAAGTGTTTGGTGTAAAAGTGAGATCTTTGCTGAATTTCTCCCTAAATAATCAGTGTGCTCAACTCAATGGCTAAGAATTTCTCCTTCCTTCCCCAAGGTAGAACCCTGTGACCATCTGAACCCTTCAGAAGGCTGAGAAGTCCATAGGGACGTTGTAAGCACAGTCAAGCTCAGTGAGATTTTCCGTCGCTTCCAACTCTAAGTTGCTCTTCTGTGGTGAGCAGACAGACATTGCTAAGAGGCAAGTCACAGCACAGCGGTGACCTGGTGGCTGAGGAAGGAGGGTTATCAGGCAACACCTGAGGCCCGTTTTCCTCTGGAAGAGCCCAGCTGCCAAGGGAAAAGCCCTTTGGTATCAGCATAGAGATGAGCAAGTCTTGCCAAAGAAGCATCCAGATCTCACCAATCCCATCAGGTAGTTTTCTCCCGAGAATCTGCATAAATGTTCCTGTGCCTTCCTCAACTCCCAAATGGCCTCCTTTTAGCTCAATGCCCTGAATTTGGCAGAGGTCCCATCTATTGCTTTCAGACTCTTCTGTCTGTGACCCATTCCCAGCACCCCATCCTTTGGAGAGCACTGAAACCTAGAGCGAAGGGGACCAGTGAGGGACCAGCAAGACTGGGCCATTGGCCTCCTGTGGTCCCAGCGACTGTAGACATCAGCTTGGCCATTCACTGAGGTGGCTCCTCCAGGGAGGCCAAGACTTTGAGAGGAGGATTCCTCCAGGAACCTGAGATCCCAAGGGCCTGGCTTTTCTCTGCTAAGGGGACTCCACTGCTGGGGAGGACAGGGAGGAATGAGAAGAGCAGTGTTTCCCTCTTGAGTGTGAATTACATTCCCTCTCCCCGTACTAGGCAGCAGAAAAGGGGGAAGGTATATATCAGTGTAGGCTAGGTGAGGTTTGATGCCCAGGAGAAGCCAGGGTCCTGTCCTGTGTGGGGTGCAAAAGCAAACATAGGGGTGAGGTGTGATGGTTTTCTCTGTATTTGGCTTAATTCTTAAAGCTGGGATGGAAGTCCTCCTGCAATAGAATAACATTTCTGAGACAGGAACAAAACCCAGTGCTTTTTAGGGACCCCACTCATGAAGATCCACTACTGTGGCTGAGGTTGGCTGGGGAGGTTATTTCCATTCAATGCACCAGTTAAGCCCTGGGCAGTAGCACCTGCTGAGGTGACTCAAGGGTTGTCACCCAGAGGCACAATGCCAGGGACAGCTTCACAGAATATCCAAGCACAGTGGAGTCCCTTGAGTTTGTGTGTGATAAGACAGGACACTGACATGAATGGTGGGCTACCATCATTAGGCACTTACTGTTTGCCCAACAGGGCATGACACTCTGGTGCATTCAGTGGTTTGTCTCCACTGACACATGAGACAAAGGGACTTTAACAAGCAAATGAACTTGCCCAAGTCACACAGCCAGAAAGCACTGGAAATGGGACATCATATTCCAGAATTCAGTCTTTTTAGACTAGATTTGATTCCACAACCCAGCCAGATTTAAGGGTTCCCTTTGGGTCCTCCCAGGTGGGCTGTCCCTGTGTTCTCCCATCTCATGCCAAGGCTGCTGGACCTCACAAGTGTGGAATGAAGCAGCCCTTTGAGTTGTGGTTCCTGTGCTCCTGCACACTGGTTTCACCAGCCTCTGTCTCCACACCCTCCACTTCCTGGCTTCACATCCTGGGTCTTCGAGAAGCTTCCCTTCCTGGTCTCTATCCTCAGAGAGCACTGATCACAATCTGGGACTTTCCCCTCAAGTTATCTGTCTTTTCTCATAAGCCTATATGGCAGGGAGCATGTCTCTCCTATCTTATTCTCAGCTTCTAGCTCAGTGGAGCATTGAGGACATCCTGAAAACCCAAAAGGTCTTAGCTTAGAATTTTTCATAGTCACCAGTTTTCTTGGTTGGACTGGGCATGTGCTTCCTTTCTCCTCTGCCTGCACTACATCTCTCTCCATATTTTCCTTACTGACACCTACTCATCTTCCAATGCCTAGCTTGGTTGTCACCTCCTTGTGGAAATCATGAACCCTCTGTAGATGACATGCTAGACCAAGGCATGTCTCTTTGTCCAGCCCCAGAAAACAAGTCTTTGCTTTGCAGGCCTTCCCTCTAGACCCTTTTCTGCCATAGAGCCTCCCAAGGGCTAAACAGCCTACAAAGACCTGCAAGGCACAAGCCCCAGCTCTCAGCCTGGCAGCCTGGGTGGGGGAGGGGACCAGCTGGTGGGCAGGCTGGCTTATGGAAGCCGTGGACAAGAGCCCTGGGGAAATCAAGGTGAAAGGCAGCAGTTCTGCTGAGAAGCCCCACCCCGTCTATCAATCAAAGGGACTGGGACAGGGCAAATGAGGCTCACTGTGAGGAGGGAAACCCACACCCACTAAGCAGTCCCTGAATAAGACTGGCTTTCTGGGCCCTGTCTGGTTTTGGGAAACATGACCACTGGAGCTATAGGACCTGCTGACAGACACCCTCTAAACTTGACAATGTATAAGGAACCACATAGTGGGGAGCACCGCAGTGGTCTTAGCCTTGTGGGCACCCTTGGATACTGGCTCCTGGAGCCTTCTCCCTGCTTAATCATTGCTGGTCTGTCAGCCTCTCAGACTCCAGCCAGGGCCCAGCAGAGGTTACCCAGGAAGACGGAGGGAGCAAATAAGTGGATCAGGCAGAGGCATAGACAGTGATCCCACCTCCAGAGCAGGCAGCTAAAGAGGTCAAATGATACAAGCAGGAACTAGAAGGGAGAGCCCTGCCTGCTCTGCCCTCCCCCACCCCAGCTGCCCCAACACAGGGGGTGTCCTTGGCATTCCAACCTGCTCCCCCAGTGCTGAGGCCATCTGAGCCAAGTGAAAATGTCAAGAGAAAACCCAAATCGGATTGAGGCTCCTGCTCCCCCTTAATGAGGTTCATTATCAGCTGCTCTGATCCCAGTAAAGCCCAGCAGGCTGGATTAGGGGCAAAGGCTCTAAGCTGGGTGGCTCCTCCCTGCTGAGCAATAGCCCAGGCCTGCTTGGAAAAGCAAGCCTTTCATCCTGGAAGAAGAGCCACGGCTGGCAGGTGGACAGGCGTCCCCTGTCAATGCCCAGGCAGAAGTTCTCGGAGATGGCAGGAGAGTAGTAGCGGCAGGCTGCACACCACAAGGACTGTCTTCAATGTGTATGGAGACTGCAGGACTGCATAGAGTGCTTTGGGGCAATGGGGAGGGAGCCTTCTCCCCTGTGCCCAGGAGCTATATCCCAGGTGAGGCCGGACACTGCACATCATGTCCAGACCTGGACACTGGGTCTCCAAGGAGCAAGTTAAAGAACACACAGATGCTTGCCTTAACAAAAATAATTTATTCCACAGCCCTCCCAAGCAGTGGGGTAGGGTGGGAAAACCAAGCATGTGTACAGCATTGTCCTCCCTCAAGACCTTGGCAATCTCTACCAGCTGGGAAGTAGAACCTCAAGAGAGAGGCCACGCCTCGCATTGTCCTCCTCTAGTACCCTCCACATCTAGCAGTTAGCATTGATTTTGGAGACCAAAACAAAAGACAGAAGACTGAGCTCAGGGAGGGGTGGAGCCCAATGGGGAGAAGCCAAAGCACACCCTTCTCACTATACCTCTCAGAGCTTAGCCCACAGCCTTCCCACACTCCTACCACCCTCATCAGGGTCTGCCAAGCAAGCTATGTCCCACAGCCCAGCAACTGTCACCCATCCAGCTGGGCAGGTCCATACCAGCCAGCCCCAAACTATATTCTTGTAGCAGAAACCCTGGTTTAAACCTCACCTGGGAGATGGGAATTTCTGGAAGATTCCAGACCCACTCCTGAAGCCATATCCCACCCAGGTCTGAGGAGGAGGCTGGGTGGGCCCAAGGTGGCCTTTGCTTTCCAAGGCCTCTTCATGTTCAAAAGGGACAGGAGTGGAAGGAGCCCCAGAATGCAGTGAGGAGGTCCACTCCAGCCCCCAGCTCAGGCACCCCTCCTCTGAATGAGAAACCTCTGAATGGAAACTCTGGGCTTCCTTGCCCCAATTTAGTCCCCAGACTAACCAGGAGAGATGAGAGACTTCAGTGAGAATGGGGCAGGAAATCAAACAAGCTGAAAAACAGGCATTTGGTGGTAAGAGGCCAGGGCCAACTCCCTCAGCCTCCTGCCTGAGGCTGACCTCCCCCTGCTGGTCAGATGAGCCTGGGACCCTATTCCAGTCTTTTGTCGATGGAATTCTCCTTGCCAGCAGATCCAAGGGTTCACTGAAGAAACTGGCCTTCCTGACTTCCCACCTTCCCAAGCTGGACAAGGGGCAAGGGATAGAGGGCAGGAGAGGTGGGCAGGGGCCAGAACTGCCCTGGGGATGGCACTTCCTTTTCCCACCCTCTCCCAAGCTGGACAGTTCAGGCTGCAGGGTAACCAGCGAGGCCCTTCAGGGCCCTCACCCTGGCTCGGAAGTAGGTATACATGACCAGTAAGCCCATGAAGGACAGGGAGTAGAGCCCCACACAAAGGCTGATGTCCAGGTGGGAGAAGCCCCCACCCAGCACCTGTAGCCACTGGCCTTGGCCCCTCATGGCTCGGGCCTCTGGCTCCCCCTCAGCTATGCTGGCCAGCTGCTTGAAACTGCGGCCCCCCTGCCTCAGCTCTGAAGGACCTCGGAGGTGGCTCACTTCAGCCCCAGCCTCTGCCAGCAAAACAGCACCTGTGTCTCGTTTGTTCAAGTGTCGCTCCCCTTGGGGCTGCTCCAGCACATCCGTCTGAAGTTCTTCCACATGCTCAGGAGGCCCCTGAGCACCATTCACTCCGGGGCCTAGGGGCAGCAACTGGGGGCTACTTGCCTCTAGTCTCTCAGCTGGAATATTTAGGATGGTGGTTCCAGGGGACTGTGCAGCATCAGCCTGCTCAGAGCCCGATGTTGAATTTCTTGTCACCAGTTCCAGTGCGCCCATCACCAGCTTTGGGGTGACTGCTAAACTCAGAGTACCCCTCCGGGGGGCTGGTCCAGCTGCAGGGGATTTCAGAACGATGTTGCTTGGGGAGAAGTGGACCTTGAGGAAGTTGAGAGTGGCGCCCAGGTCCCATACAGGCACCCCTCTGAGTTCATTGTGGCAAGCAGTACAGAGTTCACGGGGTGGCCACTGCACTTTGGGAAACTGGGGGTCCTCACTGGGAGCACCTGGGGAGGGAAGCACACAGGCTGGCTGTGACACTGTGGGTCTGCCTAGGAGCTCAGACCTCACTCCTCCATTCTGAAAGCCACTTCCTCATCTGCACAAGCAGCTCACCTTGCCTTTAAAAGGACAGAAGCCGGGAGACACAGATAGAAAACTTGCAAAGAAGTTAGTGTGGTGGTACATGCCTGTAATTCCAGCTACTCTGGAGGCGGAGGTAGGAGGATCAGGGTCTGAGACTTACCTGGATAAAGCAGGAGACCCTATCTGAAAAACAAACTAAAAGCAAAAGGGCTGTCACGTGGTAGAGTGCCTGCCTAGCAAGGCTGAGGCCCTGATTCCAAACCCTAGAACTGCCAAAATGAATAAACCGATGACAACAACAATACAAATGACTTGCACAGAGCAGGAAATTAACCGATGGCACCTCTTCACGTGAGGAGGACTCCTACACACCTGCCCCAGCACCCCAGGCACTTCCCAGGGGAGATCAGGCCCCCTGCCCCACTTTGTTGACTTTGCTGCCAGTTTGTATCCTGGACCAGACATGGGAAAGAGTGAAAGACTGCATTGCGGTCTTTGGTTGGTCTGCTTTTGTTTGTGTTTGTCTTTTTTTCCTCTCAAGCTTTTCTGAAAATTTCCAAATTTTATATAATGAAGCTATCTCTCTTTGCTGATTATAGGGAAAATGGTTTAAGAACAAGAGTTTACTGCTCCCCTCTACCCAACTATGTCTGGCCTTTGGGTAGGCAGGGCAGGATGGGCTTGGGGTGCCAGGAGGAAGCCTGGGGCACTGGACAATCCTGGGAGCTGTGCTGGCTGCCGGCTGCTGGGACCCCAGGCAGCTGGCCACCAGCCCCTGGCCCAGAATCGCCCAAAGAATGACAGTCAGCTCATCCCTCTTATAGGAATCACCTCTCCTCAGTTTCAATTCAAGAGGAAAAAAGCTGACAACTCCCAGGGAAGCAGCAGTAGCAAGTGATGTTGATGTCAGAATGTTATTTTGGGGAAGGGGCAGCAAGCAAATTCCCAGAATGCAGTGGTAATTACAGTTATCAGGCCTTACAAAGCAAGCCCTGTACCTGCTACTGACTAGCTGGGTCTAAAAGGACCCCGCAAGAGATTGGGGGACCACCTTGCTTTTGGTCCCTGGGGAGGGGCCGGCTCCTGGGTCTCTAGTGGCAGCTGGGAGCATGCTGAGGTCATGGGGCTGGAGAGTCAAATGGAGCATTTGGTGGCAGGGTGGGGATAGGGAGCAGAGGCCTGTCTTCTCTTCAAAGTCCACAGGAGGCCTGGCTGCATCACCACCTGTTTGGTTCAGCTCCTTTTAACCTGCTCAGCCCCTAGGCTCCCATTCTGGGGAGCAGTGTCACCTAAGCACTCCTCACTTATAAGCAGCCTTCTGTCCACAGATGGCTCCCTCCCCTCCTAGTGGCCCTGGAGTTTAATGCTTTGCCTGTAGGACCCACGAGATTCCTGGGCATGGGAAAGGAAAACACTGTGAGGGAAACTTGTAAGACGGGGCTGCCCCCAGAGGAACCAGTCCCTGGTACTTCTGGAAAGGACCTCGTCTCTCTTCTTTCAGGTCACTCCATCATGGCACCTTTCCTCGGGAGTGGAAAACTCCAGGTCTCTCCTCCCTGTTAGTCTAAATAGTGGGACAAATAACCAGAAAGCAGAGCAGGGGAGGCAGGAAAGATTCCAACAAGCTAGAGAGACATGCCTGGGTGCAGGGGAAAGAGAGAGCAAAGGCATCAGAAGAGCAGAGTCCTGCAATATCACAACTCAGGTTCCTCTAGAAAACGGATCTAATGATACTTGGCGTTGCTTAGCAGGGCTGGCAAAGAATGTGAAAGCATTCTTATAAGCTGAGAAGCACAGGATGTCACTGAGGGGAGAACGAGTATCCCCCACCTCTGTCCTAAGACCCAACAGTACCCTATCCCCCCATAGGTGATTCTATTCTTAGAGATGGCCCATTCTTACCTGCAAGGCGAGCATTGACCCTGTTGTGGCCAGTCCAGAGCCAGAGAACTGCATCGTTTGGACTTGCCACCCGGTGCATAGAGGCAGCAGCCATCTGCTCAAAGTGGCCCGCGCAGTCTCGGCAGCCAAAGAAGAAGCGGACATAGTTCCGAATGGCTTGGAGGACCTCCTGGCCATTGGCTACCGGGGGAGGAGACACCATGCACAAGGGACCCTTTAGGCTGCTGGTTCCTGGTGGCTCCCCCCTCTGTTCCCTTGACAGGACATCATGTGCTTTCCAGCTCTGTTCTGGTCACCCCTGAACAGGTGCCTCACATCCCAGCCCATGTGATAAGGGGCCTACTTCTTCCCTCCCATGGGTCACTTTAGGAGTAATTCTGTCTCCTTTCAAACTCCTCAACTTCAGTTCCCCTTCTGCACCACCCATCCAAGCCCTCTCACTTACATTCTTTAGTAGGACACTCAGGCTCTCTATGACATAGCAGGAGAGTTGGCAGAGCTGGAGCTACCTACCACCTACCCCTATGCTCCTCATCCACTCACCCACTTCAGTTTCTTGTTCCCGCTTGCTCTCCAGCAGACCTTGTCTCCCTTGAGCACTTTCCAGGAGTCCATCCTGTCTTAGTCTGTACATCCTCTAATTTGTCTCCAAGTCTCCTTGCTCTTCCCACTCTGTTCCCTCCCACTGGGCCCTCTGGATGGCTGGAATCAGCAAAGGCCTCTGTCATCTCACCCACTCTCTTGCTTTAATGAAACTGGGCTCCTCCTGAAATAGCCCTTTCTCCCCCAACACACGCTTATATCCTTACTACATGGACCTCAGACTGCTGTTGCTTCCAACCTCTCCTTCCTGCTCCAACCCTGTCCAGCCCTACATCCACCAGGACCTCAGCATCCCACTTTCTGTGGCACTTACCACCTACCCCATGCCACCATCCTGGCACCATGTCAGCTTTCACACCAGTTGTGCTTCTCACCTCCTCAGCTCCATCTTCTGCACCCACCCCAGTATACCTGCCACCTGCCCTGAAGCTGTCCTCTCACTGCCTCCCCCTTTCACCTCCTCCAGGATTACTCCTGCAAATATTTTCTTTCTTTCCTAACATGGATCATGATTCCCCACTAATATGGGGTCATTTCGAGTGGTAAAAACAATTACAATTCTGAAATCCCTTCTCTGACCCATTTCCCCAGGTGTCTGTCCATTATCTCTGACATCTTGCCTCCTAGTCTCTCTTCATCCAGATCCAACCAGGCCATCATCTTCTCTCACCACCCAAAACCAGTTTGTGCCAAGGACATCCTTATCTCGCACTACTCCAGCAGCATTTACTAGCTGACTATGCTTCCTAATGGAAGCCCTTTATTTGAGGTCTCTGCAATTTGCAGTAGCTGCTCCTTCTCAGGCTCCTTTGCTGCTTCCTGCTCCTAGTAGCAGTCTGGATGCTGCAGGGCCCCAGAGTCCAGTTCTGGGCATTCTTCTCTACCTTCCCACTAGGGAGCTCATCTAGTCCTATGGCTTTGGCTGTCATCTGGGCACTGATCTCCATCCTGCACCTCTTCTGGAACTCCGGACTCTATGGTACACATCTCCATTTAGATGCCTGATAGGCACAAACCAGACCATTGATTTTGCCCTCCCTCCTGGCGCCTTCCTATTGCTCAGCTCAGAAGACCATCATCCACAATAGGCTCAGGCCCCACAGCCTGAAGCCCACCCCCTCCTCATTCCCACACACTCTTCCTCCAACTCATCATTAAGTCCCATCTGCTTTGCCTTCAAAGCATTCCAGAACCCAACCACCTGCAACCAAGTTCAGTCCATCGCTCCTGGACTATTTCCATCACTTCCTAATTGGTAGTCACACCTCTCTGTACTCCCCTGTAGCCCACCCTCTGCCCAGCAACCTTTCTAAAGCATTAATGGCTTGTAATTCCTGTGAAACTCTCCAGTGGTTTCTCATAATGCAAAACTGAGATAGAAACCTTTCCCTCAGCAAGGCCCCCAAGCCTCCTCTGCCTGCTTCCTCTTCAGTCGCTGATCCCTCCCTTCCAGGTCCCAGCACACTGATATTCTTTTGGTGCTGTGAACACACCAGACTTGCTCTCTTCACCTTCTGGTCCTTGGCCTTTTTTACAGGCAGAAAATTCACATGCTAAAGTCCTAAACTGAAGTATCTCAGAATGTGGCTATATTTGGAGAAAGGGTCTATAAAATGAGGCCATTAGGGTGGGTCCTGGTCCAGAACAATTGGTATCCTATGAGAGGAGGGAATTTAGACACAGACAGGGAGAAGGAAGGCCAAGTGAAGATCCAGAGAAAAGGTGGCCATCTAAGGAAAGCTAAGGAAAGGGACCTCAAAAGGAACTAACCCTGCCACACCTTGATCTTGGACTGGTTTCAGAATTGTGAAACAATCAGTGTCTGTTGCCTGAGCCCCCAGCCTATGGTATCTGTTTCTTACCATCCCCTGCATGTGGGCAGCAAGAAGCTATCCTGTACCTGTCCCCATTGAGGACAGGACAGGGTAGTCTGAGGCATGTGGGGTAAACAGACCCTGGACTTACCTGGTTCTTGTGGACGGTTTGCATTCTGCTGACTTGCTTGCACAGTCAGGAGGTGGAAGAGGACCCACAGAGAGCAGGGAAAGCCCCGGAAATGTGGTTCACTGCCTTGACAGCCAACCCAGTTCACCTTCTCAGCAAGAACAGAGTCCTAAGGGACACATTTGAGTACACAATGGAAAAGAAAAAGGGCAGAAAAAGGAGGTGATGAGAGAAGCTTCCAAGAGACTCAAAGGTCAACACACAGCCCTAAAGCCAGTAAAGTCTCTCTCAGTCTGCCACTTCAAAGGTGGCAGTTCCCTTCTACCTGCTCCACTCATCAAGGCATTCAGCAGCTGTGAAAACACTGTTATTCTAGCCTCAACTCCCCCATCTGTGAAACAAAGGAGCCCATCTCTGAGGTTCTTTCAGGCCTTGACATCCTACAAGTCTGTAAGTTTTTACATGTCTGTTGACTGCTGTGGCCCACTATTGCAAACAACCACAAGAACAGGGGCCCAGAAAGGTGCCCCTGCAGAGGGCCATGCTGAGGAACGCAGTGTGCCTGAAGGCAGCAGACAGTGATAGTTAAAAACTCTGGAGTCTCACTGTTTTGAAATCCTAGCCCAACCACTTACTGGTAAAATAGGAGCTAGGCTTCTTCATCTGCTAAATGGGGATAATATCTGCCTCACACTAATTTATGAGGATTAAATGAGATATGCACAAAGAGCTCAATAAACAGTTTGTTAATTATTAACAAACCACCTAACCAAGATCTCTGCCTCCTTCCTGAATACAAACTGGTGAAGAGATTCCATTCCTGTAAATATCAAGGATGATGAAAAGACCTTCATTTGCCTTCCAGACTCACCTCTTTCCTGCTGTCCAGGACAGTTTTAAAGAAACTGTAGGGGATTTTCTTTCTCTGCTGCCTCTTAAGCCAGTCATTTATGGAGTGTAGGAAGTTCTGGACCAACGGCTGACCAGGGAAGTACTGTGGGGATAAACAGAAGTTGGAGGGTGAAAAGCAATTCTGCCAGTTCCACAGTCCTATAGAGAATAGGAGGCCATGCAGAAGTGGGACAAGACAGGTTTACTAGAATGCTCCAAAGTTATCAGGAAAATATTTTGTCTAAGGCACAAATGTGGATTCCTCACAACCTTCACTCTGGATACCTGGTAAGTCTGTAAGGCTGGAGGAAAGGGTAGGGAAGGGAAAGACTAAGTAGGGCTGGGCCCTGAAGTTCTCTCTCCAAAGCCCGAGGCTCTCATACTTACCCCAACCACGTGCCACCACTCGGACAAAGGCCAAAGCACTGTGCCATCGCTAAGGCTGATGGGGACCCTGGCTACACGCCCTCTTTCCCAGTAGTCTTTTGATACAGCAGCTCTCTGACCAGTTGGGCTAGACTGGCCAAAACCTTGCATTTGTATTCCACGGGCTACCAGTGGGGGCAGGCCAGCGCAGGGGCTTCCAGCCAAGACCCAGATCTTGATGGTAACTCCCAGTACGCACAGAGAACATGAAAAGCTACTTTGACAATAAGTCAACTCAAATCTGATTAGTATCAGCACTTTAAAACCACAAGGACTCCAGGGAAGAGGATATATATGTGTGTGTGCACGTGTGTGCATGCACAAATGCACACTGGGTGGGGGCAGGGGCGAAAGAGGGACACAGTAGCAGAGCCTGGCAGATAAAGCCACCAAGAAGCAAGTGGAGAGGTCGATGAGCCTGAAGCACTTATAGTGCAAAAACAAACAAAGCAAAGAAAACCATTCGAGAGGGGGATCCTGGAGATGAAACGATAACTAAACAGAAAAACCCATTACCATATGCATCTAAGAAAGTCATTCACTATTCTTATATTTAATTAGTTCTTATATTTAACCTCAGAGGCTAGACACCTTCCCAAGTGAGAAGCGGCTGGAAAGAACAGAGCTTCAGTGTGCTCCCTCCTGGCTAGCTCACATGGCCCCCTGGGACTCACACATAGATTTACAACTTAAAGTCAGCCTCTCTCACCAACCTTCACCTATCATCCTGACTTGGCACCTTCCGCCTTCTAAGGCCATCCTGTCAGAAGGACTGATGAATTAAAGGGCTCTGGAGTACAGGAGCAGGGAAACGCTGGTGATCACACGCCACCCAGTGGCCAGTCCTGCCAGCCCCTCCTGTGAGGCGGGCCGGCAGAGCAGGTGGGTGGGAGGGCCTACAGTGAATGCTCTCCTGACAGGATTGTGCATTCCCTGGTGGTTGAGAGCAGGGGTCGATGAGATGTGGGTGTGAATCCCACCTTGGGCAAGGTGCTTCACCTCTCTGGGCTGTCATTTCCTTGCCTGTAAAATAGAGAGAGGACTAGTACCCATCCATGGAGTTTGAGAAATAAAAAAAGCAAACACACACAGTACACTGTGCAGAGTCTGCCAGTCCGTCTGTGCTGAAGGAGAGGGAGCTGCTTCCATTATTACCCTCTAGGAAGAAGCTTCTCCAGCAAGGACAGGGTCAGAACACTGCAGTCTCCAGGGGGATGTGGAAAGGTCAAAGGAGGTCCTCTTTGCACCGAGGTCCCAAGTCCCTCTGTTCCTATTATGGGCATCCCTGGCTTCACTCAGTCCTCTGTTCCAGGCTACCTGGTCCTCTGAGGGCCCTGGCTTCTATGGGGAGAGTGCCTTCTTCCAGCACTTGTACAGGTGGCACTGAACAAGATATGCAGAGAGTACTGGTTAGGCCTTTCCCCAACACAGGCACTTTCTGGGTCTCTCCCTCATACTGGCTGCACACAGACCAATGGAGGGCCAAACAAAAACCAGCTTGTGTGGAGGTGAGATGTGAGTAGCATTCAAGAAACCACTGCCCTGGGAAGACTCCTGTGGAGTGGACTGGCCTGGGGGTAGGGTGTCCTCATCTCCTGAGCCCTGCCAGAAAAGCACTCTGGGGCTCTCTCTCCTGTATGGCAGTGGGGAAGACTGCACATGGAATTGCTCTAGACTTTTCTTCCTTTGAGGGCCCTATACATGAACAGGCAGTTTTCAGGCCTGGGAGGAAAGGCCTTTACCATGGGAGTGGCTCATCCTGTGTGGTGTGTTTGTGAGGGGCAAAAGGCTGCCTGTCTTAGGCTGTGACATCCCTCCCAGGATTGTCCTGGTGTTCACACATACATGCAACCAAGCCAAGACCTCGCCAACTGGGCCAGGAGGGCTGGGACCAGGTGGAGAAAGGAGGAAGGACAGATACAGGACTCTGTGAAGGCCTGCCAGAAGGGCAGGTTGGATGGCTGGGGTGTAGGGAGGCTGAGTCAGCAGACAACCCACGGGAACCTGCCTGCATCTGATTCAGCAGCGCTAAGCAGCAGCCTCTGCCTGCCTTGGGTTAGGCAGGGTGGTACCAGCAGTGGATCTGGAGACACAGAGGGTGTGGCAAGGGAGAGACAGCCCAATCCTCAGAGAAGGGGTGTGGCAGAGAAGGAGCTGTGGCAGGACTTTGGGTCCAGTCTCACTGGGAGGCAAGTCACTGGGTCTCTTAGATGGGGGCGCCGTATTTGCCACCTTGTAGAGTAGGTAAGAGGATTAAATACTAGACAAACACCAGGTCCTCAATAAACAGGAGCTGTACACCAAGAAGCAGCACCTTCCCAAGAAACTACTAAGGAGTAAAGAAGGTGGGGCAGAGCCAGAGATCCAGGTTAGTCTGGGAAGAAAGACAGCAGTTTCAGAAGAATGTCATCTTCTTCAAGGTGCTGTTCCAGGGTCCTGCTTTCCCAATGACCATGGCAGGGTCCCTCTGGGGTTTGAGTAAGGTGGAGAACTCAGGCAGGCAGGCAGAGTGACAGTCACTGAATGGCTGGGACTGTCTCTAGGTGTCAGGCCCTATGTCCTACCTACTCCCTTGCACATGAGGGTTGTGCTTGGCAGTGTGGGGCTGGTGTGGGATACAGTGTGGAGGAGAGCCAGTCCATGGTGGACCACCTTCCCTAAGCAGAGAGGGGCTGGTATGGTGCCTGACTTGCAGGCATCAGACTAATCATACGTGGAACTGCAGAGATAAAGGAAGCCCTGGCCCTGCTCACCTTGGCCAACACTGCCACAAACTTTTTCAGGGCCATGAGGCGCTGTCCCTCCAGGACTGAGAACTTGCCCACTTCTACCCGTAGGATGTAGTGCAGCGCAGATTCCAGGTCAGCCATGTAGATCTTGGACCTGAACAGAGAGAGGCAGAGGGAAGGGAGCACTAACCACAGGGCCGTGCTAGGGAGGTACATTCAGGGTTGAGGAGACAGAAGGGGAGCACTGCTGGTGGTCAGTCTTACAAGCTAGCCCTTGGCTCTGCCAATAGTTTGCTGAGTGATTTTGGGTGTTTAACTTAATTTCTCTGGGCTTTAATTCTTATCTGTACAATAGGAATAGTACAGTGCTCGTGGGCAGGTTGCTGAGAGGCCAAAGTAAAGCACAGCTGTAAAACCCTTAGCAGCTCCTGGGAGGGAGTAGGGGTTTTCCCTCTGAAGGCCCAGAGCCCAACTCTCCTATGACTTACTCATCAGCCCCTTAGTAGAAAGTCTAGCTGGACAACACACACACACACACACACACACACACACACACACACACACACACACACACACACACACACACGGTCCTGGGAACTCTGGGCCCTCCATGAAAGTGAAAGGCTAAAGGTTTACTTACCCTCCAAGGCTGGGAGCTGGGGTGGTACAGGGGCAGGAAGGCAAAGGGGCTAATGTGAGCACAGCCACCAGACCTCAGGGATCAGGCAGAGGCCCATCTCATAGCTCCCCCAGAGAGTTGCATCACCCCATGGAACTGGATGGGAAGAGCCTTGAACACTGGCTTCTTGTCTACTCCTGCATTGGGAGTCCTGGATTTTGACCTCAGCACCAGTGAGCTAGTTCTGTGAGCTTAAGCAACTCAGTTTACCTCCCTGGGTCTCAGTTACCTCACCTGTAAGATTAACAAATCACTCTGTACTATCTACCTTCTGAAAGTGTAGAGTCAACAAGACCAACCACCAAGGTGACTACAGTGACTACTTATGCTTTGCACCCAGGTAAAGTCCCCTTTCTGTGTCCCACTCTGGTGTCCTCAGGCTTCAATTTCCCTCTCCATTCTGGTGTTCTGCCTCAAGAACTGGCCTCATGACTGAATAAGATAACGGACGGATGACAGTGTCAGTTATTACAATAATGTGAGTGAACTGAATAATCCTAATTTGAATTAACATAATGACAATCCCCACCTCTTAGTCTCTCTTTCCTTCCTTGATTTGCTAAAAACTTCTCCATTGGTACTTTCTACCCTTGAAGTCTCTTAGGTTGAGATATGTAATCCTTGGATCTTTCTCCAATTCTCCTCAAGGAGCACCTTCCTGCCCCAGCACTGAGTTCCCTGGCCGGACATTTCTGTAGCTGCCGTAGCTCAGGTTGGCCTCAAACTCGCGACTGTCCTGCCTCTACCTCCCAAGCAGCTGTGCACAACTGTGCCTGCTTCTACTTGTTTTTGAGTAGAGTTAAGCTTACGGGACGTGGGCTTTTGGCAGTATTTCTTCCGTCATGAAGGATAATGTGATGTGAGGCTCAGTAGTCCCCACACCTGGTACAGACATCAGAGAGGCCACTAATTAACTTCTGCACATAAACAGCAGTCCACCCTCCCTTTCCAAAAAGAAGGGTCAAGGTTAGCCCTGGGTAGCAGTGTCTAGGCTCAAAATAGCAGGTGCTATACCAGTGGCAGGAACAGGAATGAGCCTGAGTGTGGGTGAATGGGGTGTGGTCTGCGATCAGAGAATAGGTAGGGGTGAGGATGTTTGAGAACTAGGTGTGGCCTTACGGATCTGCAACTTTCCACACTGTGGGCGCTATCTTGTCTGCAGTGACTGGCACAGCTGTGGTTGGGGGCACCTCCCTGGTGAGTCCAGAGAGTCTCTGCAGGTAGGCAGTATAGAAAGACCTGGATTCCACCAGCCTGTGAGGGAAGAGAGCACAGGAGAGGTAGTAAGTACAAAGGACAAGTCCAGAGCTGACCAATGTCAGAAGAGGAAGCAGAGTGGCTTCTCTGACAGAAAAGATTATTAAGAAATATCTGCTGGAACTTGGCTCAAGTAATGGAATGTTTGCCTAGCAAGTACAAGTCCCTGAGTTCAAAACCCAGTACTACAAAAAAAATTCTCTGGGCTGAGGGTATAGTTCAAGTGATATAGCACTTGCCTAGTACGCACGAGACCCTGGGTCAATCCCAGTCCACCAGGAAAAAAAAAAAAAAGAAATAGCTGAACTTTATCCCTTCTATCTTGGTGATTAAAACTGGGTACCCAGGCCTTACTTCAACCTTTCTATTTACTGCATATGTTGTGGAAAGACTCTTTGACATCAGCTTGACATGGGACTTCCATCTGGAAAAAACAGGTGGGTCCAAGAATTACTCACCCTGACCTTTGGTTCTTATAGATGGGGACTGAGCAAGTCCTGGGTTGGATCCCTAGTACCACATAAAAAAAAAAAATCTGCCCATAGATAAGAATGGCTGGGTTTAACTTTCTCTACAGACCAAAAGCTTCAACAGGTGACTGACTTCAAGGCAGTCACTCACCCATGAGCACTTGCTTCAAGGTATCACAGTGACATTATTCCCCAAGGAAGTCAAAGGAGTTTGATAAATGATTTAAAAAAACAAAACAGCAGCACCAGGATTCTCCAAATCCTTGTGATTTCTCTCTTTTCCGATACAGGAGTCTTCAAGGGTAAGAAATGTCTCCTGAGCACAAACTCCCTCTCACTCACCAGGGTCCAGCACCTGGAGGTAGAGATGCCAAACCCACTACCAGTGACAGGATGCCCCAAGGGAGCTAGCACTGCTTTCCACTCTGCCCAATGTCTATCAATGAGCAGATGGCTCAGAAGCAGCGTCGTCACAAACAATTTTCCCCTCCACCAACTCCAAGTGAGGAAACAAGGCCTCTTCTGCCCACCAGCCTGGTACTTCCTGGGCCTGCCCAGAATCTAGCCCTCTCCCTCCCATCAGCCATCATGCTTCCTGACTCAATGACAGTCTTGCCCCAGGGCCACCTGGTGATCTGGCCAGGGTGAGGTCAGGTGGTCACCCTGCCCAGCCTCAGTGCAGGATGGCACTAATGGCCCCAAAGAGCAGCTCACTGGGCACCTCAGGAAAGCCTTGATTTCCCTGGCCCTCAAGCTCCTGCCTGCAAGGCCAGACTGACATCAATCATCTGCCCAGGGAGGGCACCAAGGCACCATCTGGTGCCATTTAACAGGCCATTCAGCTGCAGGAGCCTGACAGAGGGGCTGAGGCTGGCCTGATTGTTTTCTCTTAGCATTTTGGAACAGGCTATTGTCTGGCTCCTAATGAACTTTTTTGCAATTAGAAAACCAAAGGGAGGGAGGGTCAGGCATATTTGAGTCCTTGCCAGGCCTGCAGCCTGCCAATAAGTTTGACTACGGACAGAGGAGGATGGGGAGTAGGGCCAGGGCTGAGAATGGATGGTGTAGAATTAGTTGGGGCTGATGTAGGACCCCTGAGCTGTGGGGGCTGTAGGCCCTGTCCCACACAGAGGGGCAGACACCTGCTTCCCCTGCAGAGGTGTTCCTCCTTCCTCTGAAGAATCTCCAGGGAGAAAGAATCTGTCTGCCAGGGCCATGCCCTCTTTAGCCAAGAAAGATGAACATGAGGAGGGAGGAGAGAGAAGACAGGGAGACATCACACTCACACAGGGACTCGGGAGACAGAGCCATTCCGAAATAGCAGGTAACAAGATGGGAAGTCCGTGACACCAAACTTGCTCACCACGTCGTTCTCTGTGTTGAAGACTCTGCGCACTGCCAGGCCATGGTGCTGGGACAGGTCCAGAGTTACCTGCAGAGACAGCAAGGTCTCTAGGCGGCAAAGCCATTGTGCAGAGGGATCCAGGATAGGCCCTGGCTCAATTCTAGGCAGGCACTAAGGTAGTGCTGTGCTTTGTCCATGAAACCTTTTAGAATAGACCACTGTGATGAATGAGACTCTTGCGTTACCAACTGCATCCAACCCTCAGGTAACAAGTGCCAAACACCACCCAGGAGGAGAGGCCTTGGAACCCTGCGGATCATGTACCTTGCATGTTCTACAGCAATCACAGTTGAATATAATTTCCTTTCTAATAAAAGCAATTTATAAAAGGCACAATAAAATGGGGTTTTCTTTTTATCCTTATATTCACAAAGTTTTCAATCTATATGCCACGTCAGAAAAATATATTTATCAGACATGATGATTGTATTTTTAGAAAGAAATAGGGGAGAATATTTACTAATATTTATTGTGTATTGGATATTTTATGCTGATTGCCTCTTTTAATCATCAGAATAATGGTGAAATAGGGCAACACACTATGGCTGCCAGCATGGGGTCTGGGCTCCACAGGATCAAACCTCTCCTGGGCTCAACTGACTTACTTTAATAACAGCAACAACAAGAACAGTACCAACCTCAGAGGACTCTTTTG